TACCACCCAGTGGGCAGGCAGGACCCCCATTCACTTGGGGAGCTGAAGTTCAGTCCCACAGCCTGGTGGGCAGGTAGGACCCCCATTCATTTGGGGAGCTGAGGCCCAGCCCCACAGGCCAGTGGTCAGGCAGGACCTCCATTCACCTGGGGAGCTGAGGCCCAGCCCAGGGGGGGAAGGGATGGCCCCATCCACACAGTGGACTAGGGTTGCTTGAGACACCCTGACCAGCCTCTTGGTCCACAGGACCTCATACTCCCAGGGCTGGACTCAGACCCACCAGGAGCACTATGGTGGGCTTACAGCTTTGACACGTCCAAGGAAATGACCATGTGTCTGTCCTGCAGTCTGCCACACCATTGTTGTCCCCCTGCTGTCCTGTCCACTGGCCACCTCCAGGCTCCCTCTGCACCCCCTGTGCTGTTCGATGAGTCCCAGGCTGTGCAACTTGACTTCTGTGTCCAGACCCCTCTTGCCCAGAGCATGGCTCCAGAGACACTGGGACCCCAAGGGCATCGGGGGAGTGACTGAATGTGTCCTGTGCTCCACCAGGTGGCAGTACTTCGCCTCTGGAACCCGAACACTGGAGGAGACTGAGGCTGCAGGAGCTTCCCACCTGGGAGACGCCACCTGGGGCACGCGCTGTGCTGACTCCTCTCTGTGCCTCAGTTTCCCAGTTTGGGGGTGAGCAGGAGTGAGTTCTGAGGACTAAGGCACCAGTGGACAAGCCCCATCCACGTGCCCCCCATTTCCTGGCAGCTGGGGCGAGCCCTGGGGGATCCCTGAGGAGGAGTGGGCACTCCCTTGGGCACCCAGGGCCGGGCCGGGCTCACCTTGGCATGTGCGCTCATCTGTCAGCAGCTTGTAGCCCTTCCGACAACCGCACTCGAAGCTGCCCACGGTGTTGCGGCAGAAGTGGTCACAGCCGCCGTTGTTGACCAGACACTCGTTGATGTCTGCGGGGGTGTGGGGGGTGGGTAGAAGAGGGGCGAGTTTCAGAGCATGGTGGGGGAACCAGGCCCCTCCCTTTCCTCAGAATCCTCAACGGGACATGGGGTGGGGAGCCTGCTTCACAGAGCTACGCTGTGAAGGTGCACCCCCAAAGCTCACTGTAACTCCGTCAGAGACTTGGAGAGTCAGCACCCAAGACACCTCA